ATCTTATCTAACCTATATAATCTATCAATCTAATCTATCAATCTAAGCTTATCTTATCTAACCTATATAATCTATCAATCTAATCTATCAATCTAAGCTTATCTTATCTAACCTATATAATCTATCAATCTAATCTAATCTAACCTATATAATCTATCAATCTAATCTATCAATCTAAGCTTATCTTATCTAACCTATATAATCTATCAATCTAATCTAATCTAACCTATATAATCTATCAATCTAATCTAATCCAATCTAACCTATATAATCTATCAATCTAAGCTTATCTTATCTAACCTATATAATCTATCAATCTAATCTAATCTAACCTATATAATCTATCAATCTAATCTATCAATCTAAGCTTATCTTATCTAACCTATATAATCTATCAATCTAATCTAATCTAACCTATATAATCTATCAATCTAATCTATCAATCTAAGCTTGTCTTATCTAACCTATATAATCTATCATTCTAAGCTTATCTTATCTAACCTATATAATTTATTAATCTAATCTAATCTAATCTAACCTATATAATCTATCAATCTAATCTATCAATCTAATCTAATCTAATCTAACCTATATAATCTATCAATCTAATCTAATCTATTCTAACCTATATAATCTATCAATCTAATCTAATCTAACCTATATAATCTATCAATCTAATCTATCAATCTAAGCTTATCTTATCTAACCTATATAATCTATCAATCTAATCTAATCTAACCTATATAATCTATCAATCTAATCTATCAATCTAAGCTTATCTTATCTAACCTATATAATCTATCAATCTAATCTAATCTATTCTAACCTATATAATCTATCAATCTAATTTAATCTTATAATCTAATCTCTATATATATATGTGAGAGATGGAAAAGTTCAATCCAGTCCTACTTTTTCAAAAATAGTGGTACTGTAATTTACGGTTCTAACTCTTGTCAGGGGTTACTATAGTTGTATCCATAGTGATTAGTTCTATTATATAAATATGAACCTATACTAAACCTATATTTTACCATCGCATCGGGGCATTGGAGGTCAATCATACCCCCTGAAATCACTGGGAGGTGAGTGTGGTGGGTATTCTATTTTTGCAAGCAATGGTTGTTCACAGTGGGTAATCTGCTGGATAAATTATAATATTTCACTAACCGGAATGAAGGCCATTTGGGGATGATTTCCCTTACTAACCATGATTCGAGTGAGGTCGCAGTGAGGTCGTTACAATTTACCCAAAATCAGGTAATCTAGTCTGACAATTGTTTTGTGCCTTTTTGGCCCATATTCAAAAGACCGACGAATCCTTTCTGGCGGCTCGATGTTTATGTGAAACTAGACATATCATAAATCCAGGATAATCGGATGTTTACCCTCCTGTAACCAGCTCGTTCTATCTGCTGTTTTGCAGATAAAAATTCCCAACCTTTGCCAACGTCCTACCGGATGTTGGTCCTCACAGGGTGGTACCCCCCCAGTTACAAGTTGGTTTATGATCCCCGTTAAATATAACCCCCATAAATCCTAGTTATTGCAGTTATAAATTATAAATCAACCTGGCTAACTATGGGTCATCACCTGTACGATCATGCCCACAAAAAAATGGTCATTAGTGGTGCACAACATCTACTGCAAACTTTGCTTAAAATTACCACCACCAAATCCTCATTCATATCTGGTTAGATTATATAAAAAACAACAACATGTTTGGTTGGGGGATGTCGGGGGTAAACTCAATGATAAACACCAACTATCAAAACCCTCCAGATCCAAACGGTAGATCCTTGGCTGTAAAGATTATGATTCAGATTGATGCAGGCTTTATCAAACTCTACGTGTATCAATATGTCACAGGTCCACAACTACACACGTATATCTAATACATGCTTCTTGGTAGAACTAAGAACTGGTTTTCCACCATGTCTGGAATCCTTTCACCAAGAATGGATCCTTGATTTAGTCCACACAAAAATAGGCTTTTGCTGGTGATGGTGATTTTCCAATTGCTCAAAATGATCAAAGATTCAACTAGCCAGTGATGCAACTATCACTTCTTTTTTCGCCACTACAGTACTACAGTCCCACTTGAATCACTTGATCTCATGAAACCACCCATTTTTCCTAGGCTTTTTCCACCATCTTTGGTGAAACTTTCACCACCAATCCCACCGCTGTTTTTAACCACGGTGACTCTCCACGGCGCGGGCCACGTTCTCCGCAGGGCTGACCTGGTTTTTGGGTTTACCCAAAGAAAATTGATGCTGGCTTCAGGTGGGGAATTTCATGGTTTTCATATGGGAATATCATGGGAAAATAATTGTTGAATGGGATTTTGAGTGGAGTTCTTCAAGTTAAAAAATGGTTCATGTATGGTTTGAAAAATGGGACTATGGCTGGATTAGCATGGGTGATATATTGAATAATCTCATGGGTATAGTGGTTTATATCAGTTCATGAATAATCCACTCCCCCCGTTCCTATTCAACACCCATGCATCTTTGGGACCATTGACAGGCTGGGGGTGCAAAAAAATAAGGCTGTGGGCCTATGGATGAAGTCTAGGGGCTGATTGATGAATTATATAATATGGACAGTGAATAAGTGATTTCAGTGATACCACCTATATACTATGTTTTTCATATTGTGCTAACATTAGGTGGTGATTGATTTTGCCTGGGTTAAGTTATACCACCTGCTTTACTTATGTCAAATGGATATGGGTATATTGTCATCATAAGAACAGCCGAATAGCTCTTACCCTCCGCTGGAAAATTCCCCCATGTGTAGGATGATTTTGCCGCCATAAGCGAAACATTTCGTGAGAGGATTCCCGAACGGTGGCAGGCTCAGGGATTAATCCAATGATACAACCAGTAGCAGGTGCTTGGATCATACTGAAGAAAAAAAAACTGGATCATCCTGGTAGCGATATTCTGGCATCATGTACCAACAAACATGGGCTAAGGATGGCTAAGGGCTATCTCAAAAAATAGATGGAGGGCGCTTGAGCCACACTGGGCCCAACTTTTATATAGAATTGAATTAGCCACTTGGTATCTTCCAAAGGATGAATATAGTCGAACATCTTTAGAACCTGCAAGGCTCAATATGCGGATGCTCGTTGAGACCCCCCTCTCGAAGTCATTTGTTGAGAGGTCTATATACTTAGGTTTGATCCATTCTCATTGATCTTGGTATGGGTCCAAATCAGGTAGCCTCAAAAAGGATGGTTCAATGAGTTCAATGGCCTATGACCGAAAATCCCGAGTACTACAACTGCTGTCTCCTCTTGGTGTTGCCGACATCCCAGTCCGAGTCCCTCCAGCAGTCCTTGTAGGCTTGCATGCTCTCAACCAGCCAGCCCTGGCGACGGTGTCCACCCCTGGAGGATTCGCACCACCAGGTCGTTGAAAATCATCAAACAGGATGTTCCGAAGCTTCATTGGGGATGTTGATTTCAAAACCATTTCAAGCCCCATTCTTTTTCCAAAGGCAATTTGCCAAATACATGTATCATTGTATCCACATAATTTACATTAATTTACTATGTGCATGTCATGTACTATGCTAGGCTATGAATATGTATCAATTACATCACCTCCCAATTTTTGCTGCAAAAGTTCTACATCTCCATGACTTGCTCCCAACTCCGACAGCTTTGGTGCCTGCATCTTCTCATCAAAGTCCGCCAACGTCACGTCCACCTGGCGGCACTTCAACCCCCCTTTTCTGTGAGGCAAAGCTACATAAACCAATGGGAAACCGGGTAGGATTAATTCTGATGATTCTTGAAATTGAAAGTGTCCAAACTTGATATAATGATATATTTGCTTATCAGATTCCAGTCGAAGTGGGAACTTCATCTGTGAGCAAAGAAAGCCCATCCCCAGAGCTTCAACCGGTGAATGGTCCAATGTCTCAATTTCGCCCCTACTCAACGGCGGTTTCCGGGGGATTAGTTTGCCTACATTCGGGTGGTTTTGGTGATAACTGTGACCATCAGAATTCCAGACAGAAAGATCATGAAATGTAGCTTGAGAATCGACATTTGAAGGATGCACCGCTTCGCCTTGTGCATCACTTCTGTGACTGCTGAAATCGCTGCCATGTCTTCCTGCCACCGGCAATTGAGGTGTTGGCTCCTGAACATCTGGATAAAATCATATACCATCTGGTTATTCAACATAGCCATGGAAAATCACCATTTTTAATAGGTAAACCATCTATAAATGGGCCATTTTCCATGGCTATGTTAAATAACCAGAGGGTAAAATCTACAAGGGTCAACATGGTACCTGAATGTGGACTCTGAGGCATCGATTCCATACCATATACCCAGCAAAGTCACTGCATACCTGCGTCCTACGTCTGTTTTTGGTGATCCCATCATAGGTCTCCAAAGCCGGCAATCTACAGCTGAACATCCAATAAAAAAGGCCAGGTTGCTATCTGGAAAATCTATAGTGGGCAATCATTTAATAATATCACATCTCTGGGCCCCCAAAATAGTCATTAAATCAGTAAATGCCATTCAGGGAAACAAACAAAATGATTTGCAAATGATCAATTTCTGTTGCAATCTGATCAATTTCAGTGCAAATGTCAGCAATAAAACGATGACAAACTCGTGACTTCCCCGAGGGACTTATCACGCCTCGGCTCGGGCCTTGGGCATCTGTCCTTGGAACCACAGAGTTCTTTGGAAGCAGATGAACACAAAAGGATCACTGACCTTCAGAAATATGATTAAAAATAACAACAAACATCTCTTTCATACTGTTTTCATCATGGAATCCCCCATCATTCCGGCAAGTATCCCGGAAAACATGACGGTTCAGCAGCTGTTCTGTCATCCACATGAATCGGAGAACTTCTGTATGAAAGTCACCCACGAAAAAAGAAGAGTTTCATAGTGAGCAACATGAGATTTAAGGGAAAACATATTACTAGAGTAACCCCCCTAAAATCCTAAGCAACTGCTCATTATTTTATTAGGAGTTTACTTATCTGTTCTTATGTGTTTCTATTATGAACAGCTTCCAGGAAGAAGTTGTCGCCTTGTCGCCACGCCTGGGACCTTCATCCCCAATTTTTTGGAGAAATGTTCGTGACAAAAAAAAACAAAACAAAAGCCTTCCAGATGTCCATCCCAATTGTCCAAAAAAATATATTTCTCCATCCCAATTGGGACTTTCGGGACCTGAACCGAAACAGCACCGGTGACTTTCCGAACAATCGCAGACTTGTCGAAGTACCTAGCTTCGAGGGATTTTAGGAAATCGAAACTGAAAACCATCGGTGTTTACCACGCTGCTAGCTTTAATTAATATTGTCTGAAATGGCATAATGGGGTCGCTGAAGATTTATGATGAATCCTCATTCTCCCTATCAAAAAATGACCAAAAAATGGAGGTTCATCATGGTTCATCCCAATTTTCTCAGAGACAGCCATCTTCCATCATCTTCCCAATTCTTCCCATCATCCTGTCATCGTGCGTTGAGTGGCCGAAATCCACTTTCACAGCATATTCCTTGGTATGTTTCCAGAGCAATGCATCCACCTTCTGCTCGATGACACCATGAAGGTCATGATTGGCCTTGCGCGAAGAGGAACTGGACATAACTATTGCTGGGGCAGTTTGCAGCCATGTGATGACACTCAAGGATAATAGGTATTCCATGTTACTCCTCTTATGGATCATAACAATCCCCAAAATTCCTATTCATATCTATCCCCTTTAAGTACTAAACCAGTTGGTACAAATTAACCCTCAATTTCATCACCGGCACCAACAAACAGGAAAGCTTTCACTTTCATCATCTGCGTTTGACTAAGAACGGGTATCCCAGATTCCCATGATGAAGAAAATCATGTTGCCCATTCAAAGGGCAATTTAAGGTATCCCCATTGTTCGACAGACCTATGTTCTGGCAAGCAAAAAACACAGCTTGGGTCAACCAACCAGCTGTTGGACCCAACTGGACGACTCTTCTTTGCGGCGTGGGACCGTGGGGCTCTGTCAACACTTGCTTCAGCCTCTCTTCCACCAACCCCACCAGGAAAAGCCTGGAGCACCCCAAAATGAAATGCTGAAATGCTTTACAATTCCAACAATTGGCCATTTTTTCTGCTGTCCCCTGCGTCTGAAATTTAACCCGTGCCCATCTGAGCTTTTCGGCCATGAAAAATAGCCTCATCGTCATCCCATCGCATTTTACATTCTATGTACTGGTGGGTTGATAGGTATCATTTATTATGAATTATAAAAACGCTTATCATATGTTATCATAGTAGTACAACCCCCAAAAGTGTTGCTTATACCGAAAATGAACCATCAACGGGGGGGTGTGGTACTGTCCCCCTCCCCCCTGTGGTGTGGTGGGGGTGTGGTATGGCATGTTGGGTATGTATGGTGTGTATGGTCGGTCTGGTATGGCATGTCTGGAAAGTATGGTATGTTTGGTATGTATGGTAGGTATGCTATGTATGGCATGAATGGTTGTTATTGTATGGATGGTAAATATGGTATGTAAGTCTGTTGGGTATGGTATGTTTGATATGACAGTATGTATGGTATGTATGGTTAGTATGGTTACTATGATGGGTATGGAATGTTTCCTATGTAAGGTAGGTATGGTATGTATGGCATGTATGTTTGGTATTGTATGCATGGTAGGTGTGGTAATTGTGTTTCATATGTATGGTATGTGTGGTCTGTATGATAGGTATGATAGGTATGGTATGTATGGTTACTATGATGGGTATGGAATGTTTCCTATGTAAGGTATGTATGGTATGTATCGCATGTATGTTTGGTATTGTATGTATGGTAGGTGTGGTAATTATGTTTCATATGTATGGTATGTGTGGTATGTATGATAGGTATCATAGGTATGGTACGCATGGCATCATTGGAATGTATGGTAGGAACGGCATATGTTCAACACATGTACTGTTGTGAGAGAACACAGGTAGTAAATAGGAAGTAGATACATGCCACATGTATATATGACTATAAGTGGCACGTAGGTACTTTGAGGGAATATGTGTGCTACGTAGGTCGCCTAAAAGGTAGCATGTACCTAGTAAATGCGAGGCTGGTAGTCAGAAATGCTGCAAAGACCTAGCAAATACGAGGCTGGACCTCAGAAATGCTGCCAATAGCTTGCAAATAGAAGGGAAAGGGGGGGTGCTACCTGGGGACCCAACCCATGGGGGGGTGGAGAGACGGAGGACGGGACCATATATACATATTATTATTACTACTACTATTATTATTAATTACTACCAGTAGTACCCGCACGAGGCGGGGCGGAAGTTGCCTTAAAGATATATATAACACCTTTCTCATCTATAGAACTTGCATGCGCCGTGCGCCAGCCAAGCCCGTGCGTGCGTGCACTCTGCGAAAGTTGTGTCCTGCTTCACATGTCACATGTGAAGCTCCACTTCGCACTTCCCACTTCTCACTGCAGTCTTCACACTCCGCACTTCACACTTCACACTCCACACTTCACACTGCACTTTTAAGACTCCACACTTCACACTCCACACGTCACACTCCACACTTCACACGTCACACTGCACTCTTCGCACTCCAAACTTCACACTTCACAGTCCACACTTCAGACTTCACAGTCCACACTTGACACTTCTCACTCCTCACTGCTTTCTTCACACTCACAACTTCACACTTCACACTTCACACTGCACTCTTCACGCCCCACACTTCACACTGCACTCTTCACACTCCACACTTCATCTCATCTGAGCCCTTCTCACCTTATCCCAGCTCATCTCTTCTCATCTCTTCTCATATCATTTAAGCTTTCATGAATCACTTCCCAGTACTACTACTAATCACTGTCGCAGCCTTGATGCACCCACTCCAATACGATTTACGATCTTCAGCTGCAAAAGACAATAGTATTACGCATGCAGCCGCTGCACCAAGCAACCTTGACGCAGCCACTACAATGCGATCTGCAGAGACTGAGTTGCAAAACACAATAGAACTACGTGCAATGGCGTCGGAAATTGCAGCTCCACAACCAGATCTCGACGCCAAAGCGACAAAAAGACGATTTTGAAGCACTTTTGAAAAGGAATTTTAAAAGGAAAATTATTAGCGCCAAAATTAAGAAAATCTGCTGGCAAATCACTTTCGCAGCCTTGATGCAGCCGTTCCAATACGATTTACGATCTTCAGCTGCAAAAAACAATAGTATTACGCATGCAGCCGCTGCACCAAGCAACCTTGACGCAGCCACTACAATGCGATCTGCAGAGACTGAGTTGCAAAACACAATAGAACTACGTGCAATGGCGTCGGAAATTGCAGCTCCACAACCGGATGGATCTCGACGCCAAAGCGACAAAAAGACGATTTTGAAGCACTTTTTAAAAGTAATTTTAAAAGGAAAATTATTAGCACCAAAATTGAGAAAATCTGCGGACAATTCACTTTCGCAGCCTTGATGCAGCCATTCCAATACGATTTACGATCTTCAGCTGCAAAAGACAATAGTATTACGCATGCAGCCGCAGCACCGACCAACCTTGACGCAGCCACTACAATGCGTGTCGCAGCATCCCGTAGCAAACCTGCACCTATCTACGGACGTGGCAACATCAAATGACGACAATGAAGCAGCCATTCCAATGCAATCTGCAACTAGAGATTCAAGAACCGCATGGAACTACGCACACAGACACAACCACTCGTTGCAAAACACATAGGAGGAACAATTCGCGGACAAAACGACCGCAGCCGCACCCGTCGCACAGACGAGGTACCTTTCATCATCGGCTGCAGCCACTTTACACGGAAAAACACAAGGTTTGGTGCTCCGGCTTCCTCCCCAACACAAAGCCGATGCAACATTCATGCAGCCATTACAATGCGTTTCGCAACATCCCGTGGCAAACCCGAACCTATCTACGCACGTGGCAACATCAAATAACAACAATGAATCAGCGATTCCAATGCAATCTGCAACCAGAGATTCAAGAACCGCATAGAACTACGCACACAGACACAACCACTCGTTGCAAAACACATAGGAGGAACAATTCGCGGACAAAACGACCGCAGCCGCACCCGTCGCACAGACGAGGTACCTTTCATCGTCGGCTGCAGCCACTTTCCACGGAAAAACACAAGGTTTGGTGCTCCGGCTTCCTCCCCAAAACATAGCCCATGCAACATTCATGCAGCCATTACAATGCGTTTCGCAACATCCCGTGGCAAACCTGCACCTATCTACGCACGTGGCAACATCAAATGACGACAATGAAGCAGCGATTCCAATGCAATCTGCAACCAGAGATTCAAGAACCGCATAGAACTACGCACACAGACACAACCACTCGTTGCAAAACACATAGGAGGAACAATTCGCGGACAAAAATCCTCGTTTGTACCACCCAGTAAGGTTTGCACTTTGGAAAAAAAAATCTGGAACCCTCATTTTGGAAAATATTCTCCATGGTCTCCAAGGTCCACTATTGGAAAATCTTTTGGTAACATAACTTCAACCAGGGTCCAACAAGCTCAACATTTTTTTGCTGTCCCCTAAGGTTTGAACATATATGATTCTTTTGCCAGAGTGGCTACATATGTTGAATTATGTTAAAACATTTTTTCCCTATCCTTCAACCCCCCCCCTCTCTCAAATCTTTTAAAATCAACATGTTCAACATGCTCGGCTTTCAAAATCTTCCAAAACATCCAAAACTGCAATCGGCATCAATCGGCTCCAGATTTTTTTCTCTCAGGTTTTCATCTATGGTTTTTGGCATTCTGTACAAACATGCGTGAGGAATTCGTTGTACGGTTTCCTCTGGCTCCACGTCTTTGTCAGGTCTTCACCCGTGACCCATTGATCTTCACTATTCTGCACTCAATCGGTCTTTGCCGTTTTCATCTTTTTAGATGCCTGTTCAGCTTGCTCTTCACAGCTTCCCAGACTGCCCTTGGGAATCTCGAGAAGTAGCGCGCTCGCCACTCCTTAGATATATAACCCCAATATCAAATGATATCAGATATATCAGATATGATATATCAATACAAAGCATTACAAAATATTACAAAATTCCAAAAAAAATCTGTGCATTCTGACTTTCTGTTTCGCTTTCTATACCTTTCTGTCAAAATCAAAGGGGCAGTGCGATTGGGAGGATCCATCAACAGCTGCCGGCGAATCGTCGTGAACTTCGTGTGCACAGTAGAAGAGAACTGCGCAGGATTCCGCACAGTTCTGAGCAAATTGCTGAAGTACTGTGGCGTGCGTGACACCAGATCTTTCCAGGAAGTTTCAGTTCCCACAAGCTTGCCATTCACGACCACTGGCTTCTTGGGAAACTTCGATATGTCAAGCTCCAACAAACTATTCATCTGAAAGATGACGTTCTTGGAACCTGCACAGGGTTATAAATTGGGCTTGTTATAAGTTCCTTCAAAAATAAAATCCTGATACCCCAACGATTGATGCAATGTTTACTACATAATGAATGTTCACTTCCTAGTCCCATTGGAAAAAAATTATGAGGTCCATTGCATCTTTATGATCTTTATGCACGGGTATTGCACAGTCTCATCTAACAATTAAATCCTGTTGTGAAAACAGTACCCAAACCACAACATGAGACTAAAAGTAACCAAAGTAAATATGCCCAGGAAAAAATTGAAAATCTGATAATCCTGATGATGATATACTTGAGAAGGGGTGACACGAAAGGTAGTGGTGTCGCAGGGGACGTGTATGATAAATCATGGTAAGATCTTGCAAGAAACCTTCCTTTGAGCGTGTGAAAGCAGTCGTTGGCATAGAATCGTGCTTGTTCTCCTTTTCCATCGCCTGCTTCGTTTTCTCTTCCTTCTGCATCTGGGTAACCACGGCTTTGAAGCTGGCTATCTTTCGAGATCGAGGCTCTCTGGGAGGTTGTGACTCTGGGGCCAGAGGATCTGCTTGGCTCTCACCGTTCGCGCCATCTGCTCCTTCCTCACTTGCGGCCGGCGCAGCAACATCAGTGTCCTGAGCTTGGTGAGCTTCAGCCTGATTCTTGCTTTCAAGTGTACGCTTTTGTCCCTTGGTCTTGTTGGCTGTTTTGGCTGGTGCTCCTTTTTGAAGGAGCTGGTTCCATTGGGCAAACTCATGGGCATTTTGCACTGCTTCCAAAGATGCACTGGTGAGGGTGGCGACAATGCCATCCAAGCCCTTTCGAAGATTCTCGACGCCCAACTGAAGACCAATTCGCTCTGCTTTCAAAACCACGGCCTGGCTTTGGCTGTTGGCTTCCATTGTTCCTTCCGGTTTGCCTTCCATGGGTTCCAGAATGACGCCTCGGATCGAATGCACAGTTTCCACTGGGCAGGCCAAATGGGCGGGCTTGCGCTTTTTCTTGGCCCACCGCCACACTGACCTCAGATAACAAAAAAATAACATCAGCAACACATACAAATATGACCAGGGGAATAATGGGGAATAAACATATATAATATTTAGATTATTCTTTTCACCCCACCCCACCCCACCCCACGTCATCAACGTAGCATCAAGAACGTCTTCCAAGTTACCTCGACATGTCTTGTCGACGTAGTATCAAGGACGTGGTCGTCAGAACGTTAATACACCCCCCCACCCCACCCCACCCCAGCGTAACCCCTCCAATGGTCAAAAAATGCATATTTTACCACGGCGAATTATGCACCGTGGTCCAACTACATAATAATATATATCACTACATAATAATGATAATAATGTAAATGTTTGAAAATGTTTGAAAGATCTGGCAATGCTGCTGGTAATGCTGGCAAAGCACATGATGCAAACCACCTGCCACACACTGGTTCTTCCACGTAGGCCCACCGGCAACACCAGTAGGACATCACCAGCTGAGATCGTTTCAGGTGGAGGAACGTTGCCATTGGAAATCTTCTTGGAGAGATTTGCTGCTAAGGCCATCCATGCAGCAATCCTCGAAGTCCTTTTTGCCGATGTTCCGCTGATGGCCCTCAGCTTCGCAGCCTCATGCTCCATCAGCTGATGCCAGTTCAGATCTTTCTTGCATTCACGGAAATTTTTGGGCTTTGGCAGCACATAGCTGTCGCAACCTTCTCGCAAAGTCTCCAGAAGTTGCCATAGGTGCGGCCACAAAGAATCGATGCTGGACAATGCATCCATTGGGAACAACCCAAGCACAGCGCTCAAAAGCACTGGTCTCTTCGCAGACAAGAAGCGCCTGCCATTCTTGTGAGTTTCTCCAGAGTCCTTGTGATCTTGACCAGCTTGATGATCTCCACGGTCTGGGGTTGCATCACGCAGTTCATGTAAGAGTGCTTGATCAGGAACGATGACGACACCTTTGACCTTGTCATTGCCTGCACCGTCCAATGCCTGGGAAGCGCTCAGCTGTGGTGGTGGAGCATCAGCATTTTTGACTTGCTCTTCGCGTGACTGAAGTTGCTTCAACAACATGAAGGCTTCAATGTCATGGCCTTTTTCTGCCGCGAGGAGGTCTTCAGCCAGCTCTTCTCCATCGTCATCATCGTCTGAGGAGAAACCGTCCTCCGAATCATTTCTCTGTGGGGATCCCAAGGCGTCGGCCAAGGCAGAAGCAGCATTTTGAGAGGCTGCAACAGCCATGTGTGCCCGAAGAAGTTTGCTACTGCCGTGCTTGCAACACAAAGAGAGGAACCTGGTAGCTGAAGTCAGGGCTGACTGCGCACATGCTCGAAACTCCTGACCACATCTGGGCAAAACAGGCCAGCACCCCAACATAACCCAACACATCCCCAAAAAATCTCAAAGAATGAAATTTTATACATATAGTATACATATATATATATATACATAGTTTGTTAGAGATGTTATAGTACAGTTATCATAGTTGATACACAGAACTTTCAGAAATCTAATCCTTGGCCCCCAATGTAGGACCTTTGATCTGTATGATCTTTATGTCTACTTTGTCAGCACCAAAGGAAAAAAATGCTATCAAAACCCCTCACTGGCAAGAAATGCCACCATGCAGGATCAAGTAGGTACCACAAATAAATTCCCATAGTGCAAACCTATCAAAAAGTGTATCCTAGGATATTCTCTTCTAATGTTGACACCTTCGCAAAAAAATCTTAGCGATGATGATGATGATGATGATGGTGATGATGATTATGAAATTCATGATCAAAAGTCCTCGTGAGTGATAGGTCGGTCGCTCTCTCGAAGTGGCAAAGGAGGCTCGCCCTTGACATGCTTCGCGGCTTGAAAGTATGCTTGGACTTTCTTGCTGCTTCCATACAAAAAGTCACGAACGCTGACCTGGCTGCTGATGTACTGGCTTCTGATGTGAGCAAACCATTGCTCTAAATGAAGCTCCGTGCACTTGTGCGGTCGATACTGGTACCCCTTGGGGATATTGAGGCAGGCCAGCATCACAAATCCACATAACTCCTGTTGGTTTCTGCAGGTAGTGGCATGCAAAAAAAATGATCCTTTGCGAGCACCTGCTGCAGCAGCACGTTCATTGGCTAGCATCTGCAAGAGGTCGATCAGCACAAAACAGGTCATTGCACTCTCTGTTCGCTGTACTGGGGTCAGAGCTGGATGTGTGGCAGCAGCTTGACCCATAGCCATGGTCAAATTGAGAAGGAAAGCTCCTCTCAAGCACCATGGAATCTTGGCCTCAGAAGGTGAAGCTGGAATTTCAACCACGTAGTGGTAGGGGCTGACCAAGAGAGCTGCCAGCAAGTCCGATTGGCCATCATAGCCACAGAAGCTTGCAGGTGGTACCCCGCAATCTAAAGTGCCTTGCAGATCCACAAAATAATCTCCAAAGTACATCATCTTTCCACTCCGCATTGCCCCTGTGAAGTTTTTCTGGAGATGCGCTGGGCCGTTTAGGGCGAACACCGCTTCGCCCTTGTAGAATGGCTGGCTGAAGCAAAGGTTGGAAATGACACTGGAAGGCATCTGCTCGTAGGAAAGCTGCCCAAAAAATGGCACATCGGTCAGGGTCTTCTCAGGTAGGGAAGTTTTGATGCCCAGCATGAGCTGCTTAATAAAGCGATGCGAGCCATGATTGTCGCAAACCTGACAGTCACCATTATCATCATTATCATGATTTAACCCATTTAGATATATTTAGATCATCATGATGCCGAACAATAAGCATATGGTATAATATAGTGATATTGGAAAATAATAAAAATACATATAGTAAGAATTAAATTCCTATGTGCCAGACCAACCTGGTAGATTGTCATGAAAGGTTTATGCTTATTCCCTTGTACACTTGGATTTTATTTTTTACACCCATGCATCAGCTGAAGCTGGATTCACAGTCCCCCCGCAATTTTTTTCCAGGTGGCTTGAGATTACGAGTTCAGATAAAAGGGTTTAGGGTGATTCCAAACTCAGCACTGGGGAAAAAAATTGAAAACATCCCCATAAGACCGAGCAGCGATGTGGGCCACATTGCTTGCCTTTTCCAGAACCTGGCCAATCACCTGCAGCATTTCAAGGCCACTGCATTCATATCGCATTGGGATTGTCGCCACTGGATATCTAGGTCTCCCTGGAACGGTGCTGCAAGGGTCCCAGATGACAATTTCCAGTATTTCATCTGCTTTATGCACCCGACCCCCATCAACAACTCCATCTCCTTGATCCTCTTGAGCTTCGTGATCCTCATCTGAAGCGTCAAGCAGTGGAATGTATCCTGTTCTTCCAGGCTGCTGCTCCTCCGCAAACATTTCGAATGCAGAGCCCACCCAACACTTGCCAAGCCGGCCACGGATGACATCAAGGGATTTCAGGCAATAGGTCTTGTCAAAGGCCAGTGACAATCTTCGTCTGGGAGCATCCTGATGCCGCTGACACAAGGAGTCAACCAAAAGAATGTTTTGGTTCAGAACCTCATCGGACAGGATAGAGAGAAATGGGTCTGGCAAGCCCATTGAAAGTAGTTTTGCGAGGTTGGACTGCACCCCTTTGAACTTCAAGCCAAATTCTTTGAGAAGCTTTTTGTTTCCTGAAGAAAGGCTGAGACTAATTCCAGCCTCGCTGATCAAATCCATTTCGGCGTCGCTCAGCTGGAGATTTCTCATGGTGGTCAAACCTCTGGATTTTCTGTCAGTGATCTCCAGTAAAGCGCAAACCAAACCTTGGAAAACAGGGTTGCTTCTCAATCCTCCATTGGCTATCTGACATGCAGCTTTGAGTTCCACGTCAGCAACGGTGCTCAAAGTTCGGTTCTGCAATCGTTCGGCCATTTTCTGAGAGTTCATGGCCACATCAGCATTCCATGTGCAGGGATTGATTTCCATGCATGGTTTCACCACCGTAGCAACGAAGTCCTTCAGAGCCGCAGGCTGCCTTAGCTGAGGAAGGCAGTAGAACCCACTGCGCACTGCTCTCCACAACTCTTCCAGAGACATGCCCATCATGTTGTCCAAGTCTGTTTTCCAGCCAATGCGATAGAAATCCACCTCTTTGATTTTTCGAAGCTCTTCTTCTACTTTGTCAGGAAAAAACAGTCGAGTTCTCAAGAGGAATGCTCCGTAGTACTTTTGAGCAAATCTGCACAATGTCCTGAGAACATGCCTGTCATTGCCCAGAGTCATGCACTTGCCACAGACCACATGGTCGGGAGGCTGGCCATCCGCTGGTATTGATGGTATTGTCACTTGCACAGTGCCAGTGCAAGACCGGTGTCTGATTGTGACTTCATCCCGGTTGGAACCGAACTGGTAGTCATGAAGCAAAGTCTCTCCCAAACAATTCTTCTCCAAGTGAGCAATGGTGGTGCGGCCACTTAGCTTTGCATAAGTTTTCAGGGTTTCAGCTACCTGTCCAAGTTTGTGTTCAGCGGGCGCAAAGCTCGAACACCATGCAGGACAACGATGGGATACAACTTTTTGGGACTCTTCACCTGCATCATCACCACCAGAATCACCAGGTGCATTGGGATCACGAAGGTCATCAGGCTGACTTGACGACTGGCTCTTGTCTGGAGAATTGGCACTGGATGCAGATGACGACGATGGGCCGGAAGATTTCTGACTCAGAGATGCCACTCCTTGACGATGCTGGTATGAATTCAAGTGCTGTGTCAGGACTTGAGGTGTGAAGCCGTCTATCAAGTCGAACACCGCAGGACGACCGTTGCGCTTCTTGCAGATGTGGCACTGAACAGGTATGCGTTTACCAAATTGCCCTTCATCCAGGATCTCCATTTCAGGCGCCATGCCAAGGACAATCTTGCGCACATCGGTCTTGGAACGCTTTGGTTTCCTCAGAGATTGATAAGATGAATAATATGAAAAATATAGAAAATAATAAAATTACTTTACTTCGTGTGATCCCCACCATGACATTTATACATTTTCTTACTGGCAAATCTTCTGGCATTCTATCTGACATATCTTCTGACATTCTATTTGGCATTCTATCTGGCATATCTTCTGGCATATGATCTGGCATATCTTCTGGCATATCTTCTGCATTCTATCTGGCATATCTTCTGGCATATATTCTGACATATCTTCTGGCATTCTATCTGACATATCTTCTGGCATATATTCTGACATATCTTCTGGCATATCTTCTGGCATATCTTCTGGCATATCTTCTGACATTTCTATCTGGCATATCTTCTGGCATATTTTCTGGCATTCTATCTGGCAAATCTTCTGGCATTCTATCTGGCATATCTTCTGGCACTCTATCTGACATATCTTCTGGCATTCTATCTGGCATTCTTCTGGCATATATTCTGACATATCTTCTGGCATTCTATCTGACATATCTTCTGGCATATATTCTGACATATCTTCTGGCATATCTTCTGACTTCTTTCTGACATTCTTTCTTATACTTTCTTCGCACATTCTTTGGTCCATATCTTCCTACATGAGGGTCCGTCAGGGAACACTTGGCGTGATCTCGCGGTTGAGGTCCGGCAGGGAAACCTGGGCCGTGGTTGTGGGTTGAGGTCCGGCAATGGAAACACTGGGCGAGGATGGTCGTGGTTGAGGTCCGGCAAGGGAACATTGGCGTGGATGGTCCGTGTTGAGGTCCGGCAGGGAACTCTGGGCGTGGATGGGCGTGGTTGGGGCCGGCAGGAACCTGTGGATCGCGTCGCAGTTGAGCAAGGACGACGAGGACGACGAGGACGACGATGAGGACGAGGAGGAAGGAGGAGAGGAGGCACTATGCAGGAGGAGGCGGAGGAGGAGGAGGAGACGGAGGGCGAGTAGGACGTGAGAAGTCGGGGGCGGAGGATGAGGCAACTGACATAAAATCTAACAACCCTCACCTGGCAGGTGGGGAAATATATTAATATAATATACTATATATGTATATATAATATATGTATATATAATATATGTATATATTTATATTATATATACAACAATGATGAAAATAAAATGAAAATATTGATATTGGTAATGATATATAATAATGAAATATTAGAAGTAAAATCCAGAGACCCCAGAGATCCAAAGACTACAAAATCTATAAACATCTGAAAACAGCAGAATGATTAAAGCATATTAAAGCAATCGAGAATCTTTGGCAACCTTAGCAGCGGCTGATCGGCATCTTGATCTCCTTGAGCATCTTGAACTTGTTCCTCAAGAGGGCCAGTATGAGCATCATGATGATCAGCAGCTACGTCAGCACCTTCAGCATTATCCCCGGCTTTGTACTCTGCCAGGGAGATTTTGTCAACTTTGTTCATCATTTCCAGGATCTTGGGCAACTGAGCAGGAATGTCTCTCTCAATGAGAAGCTGCTTGCAAGACGTGCAAGAGGGTAAGGTCTGATTTGTCAAATCCTTCAACATATCTCCCCATCCTTTTCCATCACACAAGGTGGAAGCAGCACCGTTGATGGGGGCACCACAAGTGTGCGCAGCATGCCATTGTGTATATCGTAACTTGAACTGTGTTGCCAACACTGCTCTGATTGCTACATTTTTCTGCCGCTGTACTTTCTCATCTGCAGTTGCCCTGCGATACGGCCTGGTTTGCCTAGGCTTCTCACCCTCTACGTTCTCGGCAGCAACTTGATCATCTTGATCAGCTTGACCATGTTCAGGACGTTCAGGATGTTCAGGTTCAGTCTTGACCTTTTTCTTGGACTTGCGGTTGTATTCCTTTTCCTGTTTTTCCTCTTTCGGCTGGTTCTCAGCTGTGAAAGCACCTTTCCTCGACCTTTCTGCAGCTGGAATGCGCACTGGTAGAGGCTGAGAAATTGCAGGCTCCGATTTCACCTTGTTCTCGGGGTCTTCATTCTTGATCAGATTGCCAGGTAGAAAACCACCAGACGATGGATCCATCTTCAGCCTCTTGTTGGCTGGAGGTGCTGAAGCGCGCAAACGCTTCTCTTTTTGCTCTGTGGATTCTGCTGCCCTGCCGTCTTTCAACAAAGCTGGCATAGATGGCTTACCTGGTTCAGTCTTTGTTGACTTGCGAGAAGATCTAGAAGATGATGCAAGCTCCTTTTTCAGTCGACCCAAGCCCACCGTCTCCGGAGCTGAGGGAAAGATATTTTTGCCAAACACCATCTGAAGACACCTTCATCCATGCCTCCGACAATCTCTCTCTCCAGGCTAGCATGCCATCAAAAGTGTCAGAGTCCACCGTGAGAGACATGTCTAGTCCATTTGCCTGCAAAGCCATGATGGTCCAAAGCCCACAGTTGCCGTCCGACACTGCTTCCCGAACTAGCCACTTGCCATCTGGTTTTGCATTCTCCATTGCCATGCTGGAGATGCGGGTTACCATGTGAACTAAAGCATCACCGCGCTGTTCTGCCAATCGCACCTGATCCAGCAACTGTTCGATCAACGCATCATTGTCATTTTCATCCATACCGCTAGCATCATCATAGAGCTCCATGATTGCCGCTTTCAGCTCAGAATCTTTGCGTCTGGTTTCCCCTTTCATCCATGCGATCTCCTTCTTGACCCGTTCCTCGTTGCTTTCGAACACTGGCATGAAATGATTTATGCTTGGGAGATCCTCACAGCGACCACAAGCCTCATAGTCTGCCCTTGTCAAGAGAACATGCCACTTTTCAGAAGGTTTGTCACTACAATCGGGATGTGGTTCAGGCATCTGCACACCCAGGGTCTTGAAGTATTCTTGCATGGGCACAAACTTCGGCTCATCCACATTGCTCACAAAGAAAAGTGTGGCATTCTCAAGCATGCTGGCCATGAACAGGTCCGCCACGTCAAGATAGACGCCGGCCATCAAGACATTCTCAGCATGCCGTTCCAGCATATCTTTGCCTACAGGGTGCTGCGGGTAAGATGTTCAGTTAAATGAAAAACTTTGAACAGAAACAATTCAAAAATATGTTCCATACTGTGAGAACATTAGACGTTAATTCATGGAAGCATGTTGGCATTAATGATCATTGATGCAACCTGCTATAACCAATTGAGTTTGGGAAATGTTTTCCTTCAAAAATGCACTGGGGGCACAGTCATTTTCACAGAGACCAAGGCATGACCTTGGCACTGATGGGAAAAAAATTCTGAAATTCTGTGAGTTTTTTTTGAAATATTTTAACAAAGTCAATTTGAAAAAAATAAGTGAACCACAAAACATTGATCATACAACACAATCTGACCTACATACTTTTTGGCTTGTTTTGGCTATGGTGTTTGGTGAAATGAATTTTGTTATATGATGTTATATGTTGTCCCACTTTCTCAAAAATGGTTTCCTTCAATGCAGGTGCTATCAGGGTTGATTTCAGTATCCATCCTCATGGAAACCCCAGGCACAGTTGGAAAAAAATTGGGACCCTGCTTTTACTTAGCCCAGTAAAAAACGAGCATTTTAGATCAATGTTTGTAACCTGTGCTTTCCCTGGGCTATAACCAATTGAGTTTGGGAAATGTTTTCCTTCAAAAATGCACTGGGGGCACAATCATTTTCACAGAGACCAAGGCATGACCTTGGCACTGATGGGAAAAAAATCTGAAATTCTGTGAGTTTTTTTGAAATATTTAAAAAAAGTCAATTTGAAAAAAATAAGCGAACCACAAAACATTGATCATACAACACAATCTGACCTACATACATCATATAACAAAATTCATTTCACCAAACACCATAGCCAAAACAAGCCAAAAAGTATGTAGGTCAGATTGTGTTGTATGATCAATGTTTTGTGGTTCACTTATTTTTTTTCAAATTGACTTTGTTAAAATATTTCAAAAAAACTCACAGAATTTCAGAATTTTTTCCCATCAGTGCCAAGGTCATGCCTTGGTCTCTGTGAAAATGATTGTGCCCCCAGTGCATTTTTGAAGGAAAACATTTCCCAAACTCAATTGGTTATAGCCCAGGGAAAGCACAGGTTACAAACATTGATCTAAAATGCTCGTTTTTTACTGGGCTAAGTAAAAGCAGGGTCCCAATTTTTTTCCAATTGTGCCTGGGGTTTCCATGAGGATGGATACTGAAATCAACCCTGATAGCACCTGCATTGAAGGAAACCATTTTTGAGAAAGTGGGACAACATATAACATCATATAACAAAATTCATTTCACCAAACACCATAGCCAAAACAAGCCAAAAAGTATGTAGGTCAGATTGTGTTGTATGATCAATGTTTTGTGGTTCACTTATTTTTTTTCAAATTGACTTTGTTAAAATATTTCAAAAAAACTCAAGAATTTCAGAATTTTTTCCCATCAGTGCCAAGGTCATGCCTGGGTCTCTGTGAAAATGACTGTGCCCCCAGTGCATTTTTGAAGGAAAAACATTCCCAAACTCAATTGGTTATAGCCCAGGGAAAGCACAGGTTACAAACATTGATCTAAAATGCTCGTTTTTTACTGGGCTAAGTAAAAGCAGGGTCCCAATTTTTTCCAACTGTGCCTGGGGTTTCCATGAGGATGGATACTGAAATCAACCCTGATAGCACCCTGCATTGAAGGAAACCATTTTTGAGAAAGTGGGACAACATATAACATCATATAACAAAATTCATTTCACCAAACACCATAGCCAAAACAAGCCAAAAAGTATGTAGGTCAGATTGTGTTGTATGATCAATGTTTTGTGGTTCACTTATTTTTTTTCAAATTGGCTTTTTTAAAATATTTCAAAAAAACTCACAGAATTTCAGAATTTTTTTCCCATCAGTGCCAAGGTCATGCCTTGGTCTCTGTGAAAATGACTGTGCCCCCAGTGCATTTTTGAAGGAAAACATTTCCCAAACTCAATTGGTTATAGCCCAGGGAAAGCACAGGTTACAAACATTGATCTAAAATGCTCGTTTTTTACTGGGCTAAGTAAAAGCAGGGTCCCAATTTTTTTCCAACTGTGCCTGGTGTTTCCATGAGGATGGATACTGAAATCAACCCTGATAGCACCTGCATTGAAGGAAACCATTTTTTGAGAAAGTGGGACAACATATAACATCATATAACAAAATTCATTTCACCAAACACCATAGCCAAAACAAGCCAAAAAGTATGTAGGTCAGATTGTGTTGTATGATCAATGTTTTGTGGTGAAATGAATTTTGTTATATGATGTTATATGTTGTCCCACTTTCTCAAAAATGATTTCCTTCAATGCAGGTGCTATCAGGGTTGATTTCAGTATCCATCCTCATGGAAACCCCAGGCACAGTTGGAAAAAAATTGGGACCCTGCTTTTACTTAGCCCAGTAAAAAACGAGCATTTTAGATCAATGTTTGTAACCTGTGCTTTCCCTGGGCTATAACCAATTGAGTTTGGGAAATGTTTTCCTTCAAAAATGCACTGGGGGCACAGTCATTTTCACAGAGACCAAGGCATGACCTTGGCACTGATGGGAAAAAAATTCTGAAATTCTGTGAGTTTCTTTTTTGAAATATTTTAACAAAGTCAATTTGAAAAAAAGAGAACCACAAAACATTGATCATCCAAGACAATCTGACATACATAATCTTTTGTGAATCTTGTAATGTCAGAATTAAGATAAAGAAGTAGAATCATTTTCAGAAATATTTTCCCATGGGGCTGGCAGTATACCTAAGTGTCTCAGAGATTGATGAAGCTGGGAGGCAATTATTCAAGGAAATTATTTGCAATATGCTTTGCAATACCATCATTCTCATCAAGAATAATGATAACTATCATAATATGTATCTTTCAAACCATTGTGTTGTTCCTGATTGTTATTATTATGATTGCTTATTACCTGAAGTGTCCCAGAGTAGTTCACTGCCTTGCTCTGTTGCAGCGGCTGCGCCCCAATCAATGAAGTTGTTGGCAGGCAAGCTCTGCTCCTGAGAACGCCATGAGGCAGAGGAATTTGAAACCAGGAAACGGCAGTGATCCCAATGCAAAATAAAACAAACACATATTGTCATATTTTTATTTTGATATAAAACACTGTATATACATGTAATACAGTATGAAAAAATCTAGACATGTAGTATAATATTTAATATTCTCAAAATTACATATAATCACAGTGTGTTTTCTTGGGATTTTTTGATTTGTTTGGCAAGTGTCTGGATCATCTAGATCGGATGGTGGCTCGTCCGGAGGAGGCATTGGAGGTTCGGAAGGAGCGCCCGAAACTGCATCAGAATCCTCAGGTCAACTCGTTGCAAAAAAATCTCAGATTCTGAGGCCCCGCTGTGCCAAACCCCAAAGATCCCCGAAGGTTCCCAAAGTTTGTGCGATAACATATTATGTGCTGTATTATCTGTATTATCCTGATCATCCTGATTAATCTTATTGCCTGCATCAAGATCATCAAGTTCAAATATGTTGAGACTAGAATCGGTCTTGGCTGGGTTGACTGTCACGTCGGATGGAGGATCTGCAGGAGCAGCTCGCTCGTGTACCTGGGATGACAGCCAGATACAGGATGATACAACATGAAAATATGAACACCTGTATCAGATTCAGAATATTCAGAAATTATCAGAAATTATCAAAAATTACAGTATTCATTTTGATCATTTTTGATCATTTTGTTAATGCATTTTAAGATATTGGTGCATCTGCATCATCATCATCATGATCATCGTCATCATCATTATCATCATCATCTTCCCAACATCATCAACAGATTGATCCCTATGATCCCTATGTGCTGGCCAGTATCTTTCTCCGAAGCTGTCTTCTCAACTGCAGTTTCTGCAGGATTAGCGCGATCATCTACCTGGGATGGCCGAAGGACAAATCCACCAATATCATTGGGTATCTACCATCACGACCATGATGACTTATATATCTTATATAAGCTTATATATATATATCTTATATATCTTTTATACAGTTACCTGTGGTTCAATATGGTGTGTTATGATTGTTATGTGTATTCCATCATAATCATCATATTCCATCAACAAGATCAACATGGTCAACAAAATAACACGAGGATCCTCATGTTCTGACCAGTATCTGACTCTCTGGCGGTTTTGTCCACGACAGGATCTGCAGGATCAGTTCGCTCGGCTGCCTGGGATGATACCGAGATGGGCTCAAGATAACATATTATGTGCTGTATTATCTGTATCATCCTGATCATCATGATTAATCTTATTGCCTGCATCAAGATCATCAAGTTCAAATATGTTGAGACTAGAATCGGTCTTGGCTGGGTTGACTGTCACGTCGGATGGAGGATCTGCAGGAGCAGCTCGCTCGTGTACCTGGGATGACAGCCAGATACAGGATGATACAACATGAAAATATGAACACCTGTATCAGATTCAGAATATTCAGAAATTATCAGAAATTATCAAAAATTACAGTATTCATTTTGATCATTTTTGATCATTTTGTTAATGCATTTTAAGATATTGGTGCATCTGCATCATCATCATCATCATCATGATCATCATCATCATCATCATCATTATCATTATCATCATCATCTTCCCAACATCATCAACAGATTGATCCCTATGATCCCTATGTGCTGGCCAGTATCTTTCTCCGAAGCTGTCTTCTCAACTGCAGTCTCTGCAGGATTGGCGCGATCATCTACCTGGGATGGCCGAAGGACAAATCCACCAATATCATTGGGTATCTACCATCACGACCATGATGACTTATATATCTTATATAAGCTTATATATATATATATATCTTATATATCTTTTATACAGTTACCTGTGGTTCAATATGGTGTGTTATGATTGTTTTGTGTATTCCATCATAATCATCATATTCCATCAACAAGATCAACATGGTCAACAAGATAACACGAGGATCCTCATGTTCTGACCAGTATCTGACTCTCTGGCGGTTTTGTCCACGGCAGGA